AGTCATAACTGTCCATGAGCATGGTGAGAATGAGGTGTGTGGAGGGATGACAGATGAGAGAGAGAACAGAATAAGAGGCATCTTGCGGGGAGAACTCTAGATTTTTTTAAATCTTGTACTGTTTCTAGGAGGTATTTGTACATAATTTTTTTCACAGGGCTTTCGAGTCATACACAGGTGTATTTGATTCCAGGCTCTGATATTTAGAAAGCATATGATCATGGTCGAGTTTCTTAAATTGAACATCGATTTCTTTGCATACTTGAGTTGGAGTCTCACCCTGTCGCCCAGACTGGAGTGCAGTGGCCGCTCCCGGCCACCGCAGCCTCGACCTGCTGGGCTCCGGCAATCCTTCCACCTCAGCCTTCCGAGTAGCCGAAATTGCAGGCGCATGCTACCACGCCTGGCTAATTTTTTGATTTATTGTAGAGATGAGGTGTCGCCTGCCTAGGCGGGTCTCGAACCCGTGGGCTCAGGCAATCCACTCACCTCAGCCTCCCAAAGGCCCGGGATTACAGGCTGAGCCACCGAATCCGGCTCTTTGCATACTTTTTAGAATAAATTTTATCAGATATGGCGAGACTAGCTTTAATGTGTTTAGAGGTACCAATAATTCAATAAATGGTAGTTTTATGACCATTTTACTCAATATTTTATTCAGTATTTCTTGCCTTTGTGCTTAATACAAATACCTTTGCCTACTAGATCCACAGATAGATAATCCTATCAGTCCTTGGCAAGCCCAGTTTGAATGTCAACCTTTTTCCTTCTGTTAGCTCACATAAGTCTGTCATTCAGTTTTGCATTTATATGTAGCTATTTGTTTCAAGGTCTCATCTCCTGAAGTTGGATTTCTTGTGGAACTGTGAAAAGAACCTGGAAGACCTGGATGTCAGCTCTACCAGTTACTCTGTCATGGAAGCAGAGCCACAATGAATACAATGGATTAAGATATGATTGATAAGAAAAAGAGCTTATGTAATTGTGGAGAAAGCTGTGAAAGTCATTTTCTAGAAGAGGAATCGACAGATCTGACAAAAGTCACTACTGAACTCCCTGAGGTTCTTGTAAGGGTTGGCAAGCCAGAGCTCACATGGGAATGTGAAAAACTAGTTACTTGCAGGTGTGGGAAGGGGACCATGAAGGAAAGCTGGAAAAAAATTCGACACAAAGCTGTGGTCTTTGCCTGGCTACTTCCACTTTTGGTCCACCCTAAGGCCCTTTTGTGATGGGTGTGTGGCTACATTGGTCAGCTGGGCCGGAAATTGGGAAGCTCTGGATATAAAGTAGGGGAGAGCTAGGGCATGCTAGAAATCTCTGGGACTCTTCATGTGTCACTATATCATTGTATCTGGCAATGAATTTTTTTGTGTCATTATCTCATTTAAATGTAGAAAGTTAAAAAAATTTGTCATCTTTACAAAAGAAGACTAGGTACTGGTTCCCTGTTTCCAAATCTTACACAAATTCCTTTTTTAATTTACTGTACTTTTGTGCATACAGGCAACAGGATCCTGAGAAATGGTGTTCCAGCTAAACAAGTCAACACAGGACAAACCACTAAAGCCGTTTCTTGGCAATGTTGGTTACATTGGGCAGTTTATTCAATCTTTTTGATCCTCTCCTTCCTTACTGGTATACTGATGTAAAAGAGGTAACAATTATATTAATACTATCTCTATGGGTTGTTTGTAAGGATTAATGAGATAATAAAATAAAAAAATTTATTACGAAATACAAAGTAACTTTTCAGATTGTTATTATTAGATACAGTTATTCGTTTAGCTAATATGTTTACTATGCATTTACTGTGGTCCTGCAAGTATACTCTGCCTGGGATAGTACATATCAGGGAACTATATAACCAGTATTCCCGTTATAAAGCTGAATCAGATGTAAATTAGATATTCAAGTGGAGATGTGAAATGAACAGTTTGACAGACTGAATTTCAGGAGCTAGGTCCAGATTAAAAGCATACATTGGGAATGATTAGTACTTAGGTAGCATTAAAAGGTATGTGCCCACATGTAAATTGAGAGAGAGTTTCCAAGTTAGAGATCAGAGTCGCTGCAGAATTCAGGGGTCAAAAAGATAAAAAGGAATAAGCAAAGAGGCTGAGAAAAAGCAGTCAGTAATGTGGAAAGAGAAAGAATAGAGAGTAGTGTCCAGGCAGCTAAATTTTTATCTTATTTTATTTTTTAGATTCAAGGGGTACATGTGTAGGTTTGTTACATAGGCATATTATGTGAGGGTGAAATCTCTGTTTCTGCTGAGCCCATCATCCAGGTGGTGGGCATGGTACCCACTGGGTAGTAGTAATTCAACCCTTAACCCCCTCTCTCCCTCCTGTCTTTAGGAATCCTCAATGTCTGTTGTTCCCATCCTTATGCCCATATGTATTCAGTGTTTAGCTCCAGTTTTCTGTAAGTTTTTGAGGTGAAAGAGATCGACCTGAACTTTTGCTGAAAAGTCATTTCATATGATAATTGAGAATTGACTATATTGGTTTAGCAGCTGGGAGGTCACTGTCAGAATGGAATGAATTTAAGACAGAATGGAGAAAGGAAATTGGGGGTGTAAAGGGAAGCAGAAAAATAGGGTGGTAACGCGTGGGAAATGTGTCAAGGGAGACTTTGCAAATACACACACACACATATAATCAATAAGCCTGGCTTTTTTCTGTTAGTTTGCTGAGGGGAATGATCCATCAGTGCTGTGCTTGGGTAGGGCCCCTTATGAGGATAGAATCTTTACCTAGAGATGCAAAGGAGAAAGCCTGCTTCCTTCAGCCAGTCCCCTCTTAAGAGGAAAATGGTCAGACTCAATGAGCATGCATAGTTATATTTCCAGATACACAGTATTAGTCCAAGGCACGTCGACCTCCCAGGAGGAGACAGAGCATGTTGACTTCCTAGAAGTAGATTGAGCAAAAGAAAGAAGACAGGGGTTGAAGGGAAAGAAGTAGGTTTCAGCCAGAGAAGAATGTTAAGGAAATATTCAGAGAAGTTGCAAGGAATTCTGCTGAAGAAGATCCTAAGTTCCAGAGGGCACAATGGAAAGATCTGGGGAATTGGAGAAGAGTGGGAGATAGGTCAGACTAAGGTGTGTAGTTTGGGACAATGATCTTTGTCTTGTATTATTTAGAACAGGGGTTAGAGAAATATGTAGATAGATAAATATTTTTCCCTTGAGAGAAAGCTGAAGGACTGGCATGGGGCAGGGGAATTGCACTAGCCCACATAGTTCCCTACTTGAAGAGCGGTCCTGATCAGGGTAAGGTCTACTCTGCTTAGGCCAGGGGGTGAGGAAGGACTGCTTGTTTCTCTTCTTCCGCTCTCTCTCCTCCACACCTGGTCTAGCAGAGGTAGGAAAAAGACCTAAGATACTCACAGCTTCCCAACCCTGCCCCGAAAGCCAGAGATACGTGTTGCTTTACCACAGCCAAGGCAAAAGTGATGCTTCGCCTTCACATTGTTCTAATCCTTACAGTGGAATTTGTAGAAGCAACTGATCACCACCTGGGACCCTCTTTGAAAACTGCCAGAGGATGAGGGTGGTGGGCTAGAGGCAAGTTCCTCCCAGCACCTTCTGTTAAAAGGAGAATCCAGGCCTAGGGGCTGGGGGGGCGGGGAGGGAGGGGGGACGCTCCTTCAATTTCACAAGTGGCAAGATTTTCACCTCGGCTCGGCAGCCTCCAAATCGTTTCCCATTTCTCCAACTTAGGAGGAAGCTGTGAAAGCCGCAGGCAACCCGGCCTGAATGGTTCCTTTGGTCCCGGCCACTCCGCTCACTCCTAGATGCCTGGGTGCCTCTCTACTCTGTTATTTGAGCATAATAATAATGTCATCGGCTTCCCTAGGACCGTCAGCGGAGCCGTCAGGCACGTGACGAAACCTGCCGGCTGCCAGGGGCCCCTCCACCCACCCACTCC